ATCAGAATTCAGAGTGCCTGGGACACGCCAGCTGCCGTGCGCACAACACCCCAACCAGCTGAAATGGGGGTGCACAGGGTGCCGTAGGGTCTGGGCACTCTGGGGCCTGGGTGTGTAGGTCCCCCACAGGCACCCCAAATGCTGAGTGCACCCCCGGGTCCTGGGGTGCGCAGCCAGACCCGTCTGCTCTGCAGGGCACCCCGGTTAGGGATGGGCCCCGCACAAGGCTCCCCCTTTGCGTTGGGTGCTCCCTGACGGAAAGAAGCGTTGGAAAACTGCGGAGGTTTAGGAGCTTGCTTGGAGCAGGGGATGGACTAGATCCCCTCTGATCCCCAGAGGTCCCTTTCCAATCCCAGGGGGCTCGGCTGGGTGGGGGTGCAAACCCTGGGGGGCACAGGGGGCTTGGCTGGCCACCCTCCCGGTGCAGCTCCTGGCTTGGCCAAGCTTCTTGGGGCTCTCACCCCCGAGCTGCAGCGTGGAGGTGCCCCTGGGTGCTGCGTGCCTGGGGACACGTGGAGAGCCGGCAGTGCCCGGCTCGTGTCGCAGCCGTGTGAGTGCTGCTGCCCTTTAACCCTGGCAGAAACACTGCTGTGCCATCGTGCCGCTCTTTCGCTGCGCACTGTACATCCCCACCACTGATTTGCCCGGAGAGGAAGCTCTGCAGGAGGGAGATAACCATCTTAAATCTGTTTTGCCCACAGACAATGGCGAAGTCACTGTCCTGCAGGCAGGAAGGCACGAGTTCCCCTTCACCTTCCAGCTCCCCGAGTAAGTTGACATGTTTCTGTTTTCTTAATGCGAAGGGGGAGAGCAGCCGCTTGGTGCGTGACACGGGTCCTGGGGGGACACAGAGCACCTAAAAAATGAGATCTTTCAGCAAAACCCTTCCAAACTGCTTATCGCTCGTACACAGGACCCTGGCTACCTCCTTCGAGGGAAAGCACGGCAGCGTGCGCTACTGGGTGAAAGCCAAACTGCACCGACCCTGGTCGACAGTGAAGAAGGTGAAGAAGGAGTTCACCGTGATCGAACCCATCGACATCAACACGCCCGCGCTGCTGGTGAGCTCTCCCTGCTCCGCCTCGGGGCAGAGGCATCCGAAACTTCCTTCCCTGGGAAGCCCACAAAGGTGCCTGCCTCCCCTCTGGCGTTACAGTGCAGGCCTGATTTCCAGAGGGAATATCTGCCCCTCTAACTTGTGCCCTCCAGCGCTACCTGGACTGGGCAGGGGTCCTCAGCATCTCTTGGCTTTTGGAGACTCGGGTGCGTTGCGACAGCATCTTGCATCAGATACCTGCGAAGTTGCTGATGCTCCCCAGCAGGTTCTCGGTGCCAGGGAGGTGCTTGCTTTGAGTTTCGTCCTTTCTTACCAAATAGCTTAAATATTTTTCCTTTCTCCAGGCTCCCCAGGCAGGTGCTAAGGAGAAACTTGCTCGTGCCTGGTACTGCAACCGTGGCCAGGTTTCTGTGACTGCCAAGATTGACCGAAAAGGCTACACACCAGGTGAGGGGATGTGCTGGTGCCCTTGAACCTCTGTGGGTAGACCCCAGCGGGAGGGGATTTGGTGTCACCGTGAGCTGGGCTCCTGACTTGGGTACAAAATCAGTTGGGGAGGTTTTGTGTGGGCACCCGATGTGGGCAGCCTCCTCGGGACAGGCTTCTACTAGATGAAACCTTGTGCCTCCAGTGCCGGATAACCCTCGGTGATCCTATGCAGGAATTTCTTGAGGCAGGACCGGGATCTGTCTCCCCTTCTCCAACATGTACGTCTGTTTTGGTAGGTGAGGTCATCCCTATCTTTGCTGAGATTGACAACTGCACAAGCCGAGCGGTGGTGCCCAAGGCGGCCATCATCCAGACTCAGACCTTCATCGCTCGGGGCACCAAGAAACAGAAGAAATCGGTGGTGACCAGCATTGTCGGTGACTCCATTGCGGCGGGGAAGCGGGAAGTGTGGCACGGGCGGGCGCTGAAGATCCCGCCTGTGGGTCCATCCATCCTTCAGTGCCGCATCATCCAGGTGGAATACTCCCTGAAGGTGAGGGACCTCATGGGAAGTGTTGGAGGTGGTTCAGCTCAGTGTTGAGCGTTCCCCTCCTCACCAGAGCTGTGCTTTGGGCTGGTGTGGAGATTTGGGGGCTGGTGATTTGTATAAGGTCTTGGGTTCCCCCCGTGCAGCCGTGGCTGCTCTCCCCGTTGCCCCATTGCCACTCATGCTCGGCATGAGGGCTCGTGCGGAAGCATTTGCATCTCCCTTTGCATCCTGCTGCAAGAATTCCCTCTTGGCCATCCCTCCCCTGTGCTTTGGGGAGATGCCTGCCCCTCTGGACTGGGAAAACACCAACAGCTTCCCTGCTGTCTCCTGTCTCTGAAGGTTTGTGTGGATATTCCTGGGACATCCAAGCTGCTCCTTGAACTGCCACTTGTCATCGGAACCATCCCGCTGCATCCCTTTGGGAGCCGCACATCCAGTGTCAGCAGCCAGTACAGCGTCAACCTAGACTGGCTGAGCACCATCCCGGAGCAGCCGGAGGGTGAGCATCTCCCGGGATCTGTCCACGTGCTGCAAACCCGCTCTGGACAGGGAGGGTCAGAGCAAGTTCTCAACTTTACCTCTTGCTCCAGTGCCAGCTTTTGCTTTTTTGACTAATTTTTTGGTTGTGGTGCTGCATCTCTTGGGTTCTCTCCCCAGGAACTGGGAGGGTTTGGGAAATGCTGGATTTGAAGCCCTTTTGCCTGCATGTCTCCTGTTGGTGGAGCGTGTTTCCTATTCCCTGATGGCTCTTACCTCTCCTCAGCTCCCCCTGAATACTCGGCAGTCGTGTCCAGCCCAGAGGCCGAGCAGAGCCTGGCTCCGCCGTGCCGCAGTGAACTTGGCGGCGTCCTGGAAGGTCCCTTCTTTGCCTACATCCAGGAGTTTCGCTTCCGACCACCTCCGCTGTATTCGGAGGTAACAAATCCCCCTGGGCTTGGGAAGGCTGGTGGAGGTGGCTGGGGGGTGTGCGCTGCTGAGGTTTTTGACTCTAAACTTGGCTTTTCAGATTGATCCAAACCCCCCCTCAGACAGCATCCGCCCGCGCTGCATGACCTGTTGAGAGAAGCGCCTTGGATGCCGTTGACAGCACGGCGATCCCTTGGGATGGAAGCTCGCGCTCTTGCAGCCCTTCAGTCTGGAAACGGGAAGGCGGCGGCGGCGAGACCAGAGCTCCTGCGGCGCTGAGGCTCCGGCTCCGCTCGCTGCCCTCA